GAGAATTCTCTATGTTGTCTTATTTATGGGGAATTCTCTATGTTGTCTTATTTATGGGGAATTCTCTATGTTGTCTTATTTATGGGGAATTCTCTATGTTGTCTTATTTATGGAGAATTCTCCATGTTGTCTTATTTATGGGGAATTCTCTATGTTGTCTTATTTATGGAGAATTCTCTATGTTGTCCGAAGTGTAAGCTGAATCGTATTGCTTATATACATTCTTTATACACTTATGTGCTTACTAACTATTCCTTTCAAGATGTCCATTATTAGGAGCTGTTATGTAACTCAATTTTTATCACAGAAAGACAACTTGGTTTTCTTATTCGTTACCTTCTGCTCTGTTTCTTTACTTCATCTCAGAGCTGACTTGGAGAAAGAACTGGTTTGTAAAAGACGAGTGCTTATGAATCATGAACACGTGTTTAGAATGTTGCATTAGTTAAATTTTAGTGTTGCAGTATTAAAGATAAAATACAGCATATTACTAACGAACAAATCTTAGAAGATATTTCTAATCGTCACAAAATCTAAGAGTGTGGAATGCAGATAGATAACAATCAAGAAATGACGTCAAAAGCCCCAGCCTTGTCATGGGAAATTTCTTTGACTTGTTCTGTTTTTCTCTTGCACAACAAATAAGAAAAAATAATACGAGGCAACAAGATGATCTGTAAAACAGAAGTAACACATAAGCATAGTGAAACATAATAATTGTGAAAAATATTAAACTTAAATTTGATATTTTACAGAAACGATAAGATCTTATTTACGGTCTTTGACACCAGGTGTTATAAAGTTTTACTGTTTAACGCCATAATCAGTTTAACTTTTAAATCAAACAATTTGAGGAAGTTGTTCATAATAAAGATATATATATATATATCCCTGGACTTTCGAAATCAATTGATATTGTAGTAACGTTAGCTTGGAGAAAACGTCAGACAGTATTATCACAGTGGACATAACCTGTTGCAGTTTAAGAAAAGCTAAGTTGTATTGGGAAAAGCGTTGGGTGAGAGTCTTACCAAACTCTGCTTTAATAACCAGTGAAGACTGAGTTTCTATGGTTTAATAAGCTAAAACAGCACTCAACAGGTAGTGGTTTAGTTAGCTAAAACAACACTTGACAGGTAGTGGTTTAGTTAGCTAAAACAACACTCGACAGGTAGTGGTTTAGTTAGCTAAAACAACACTTGACAGGTAGTGGTTTAGTTAGCTAAAACAACACTCGACAGGTAGTGGTTTAGTTAGCTAAAACAACACTCGATATGTAGTGGTTTAGTTAGCTAAAACAACACTCGACAGGTAGTGGTTTAGTCAGTTAAAACAACACTCGACAGGTAGTAGTTTAGTTAGCTAAAACAACACTCGACAGGTAGTGGTTTAGTTAGCTAAAACAACACTTGACAGGTAGTGGTTTAGTCAGTTAAAACAACACTCGACAGGTAGTGGTTTAGTCAGTTAAAACAACACTCGACAGGTAGTGGTTTAGTTAGCTAAAACAACACTCGACAGGTAGTGGTTTATTTAGCTAAAACAACACTTGACAGGTAGTGGTTTAGTTAGCTAAAACAACACTCGACAGGTAGTAGTTTAGTCAGTTAAAACAACACTCGACAAGTGGTACTTTAGTCAGCTAAAGCAACACTCGTCAGATAGTGGTTTAGTCAGCTAAAACAACACTCGACAGGTAATGGTTTAGTTAGCTAAAACAACACTCGACAGGTGGTACTTTAGTCAGCTAAAACAACACTCGGCAGGCTGTATTCAGTTAAAACAACACTCGACAGGTAATGGTTTAGTCAGCTAAAATAACACTCGACCGGAATTGACAGCTTCCAACAACACCTTTAACTCAACAGTTGTTCTAATGAGAAAAACGATCTAAAGAAATAGTTTCTGAGAAATCCCAATTGACCTCATAACTGTCAAACCCCCACGGTGCAGTTTAAAATGGTTTTGGTACCTTGGAAGCCGACGCCCAAATTTAGCGAAGACATATGACCTAAGATGGACTTCACCACCCACCACAAATCTCATCACAACAGAAGTGAGAGTTCAAACTCTAGTATGTAATAAAGCAGTCATCAAGCACGTACGGCGATTGGGAAGCTATCCCCAAGAGTAGCACGGAACCTGAATAACGATCTCATGAAGCGTGATTAACCCTGAGTAGGTGGCGTGTTAACCTTCCCAATTTTGTCATTTTATATCTGATTAATACCTCGTGTATCCGAAATGTTTGTTTTAATAGACCCCCCATTTACTTTAGAGCCTCGTGGAGTTTCTTGTTTTACTTACAAGTGTTACAAAACGACTTTTGATATTTCTTGACAATTAGGGTTAGTTTAACACATAACAATTCTTGATTTCGGTATAGTTTTTGGAATTCCGAATTCCAAGAATGAAGGGTCGCCCTCTATTGGTGGAATTTTTAGATTTATGTTTTAAGAAACGACAAATGTAGGGTAGTCCATAGCGAAGGACTTTAACTGATAATAGTGACGGACGCTTTGAACGTTTGTTATGTTACACGAAGAACTGTTTACTGTGTAATTTTACTTATAGGTAGGTTTCCTTTTTTAGGGTTTACTATTACGCACTCCGTGTGTCAATAAAACGGAAGAAATTAAACTTTCTCAATTGGACGGATGGTCTTTGGAATGGGTTGCCTCCAGATGTAATGGATGCATTTAATTTAAAGGCTTAATAAATATTTGAACGACAAGGTCTGGCTTTGATTATCTTATTTTAATTTTAATGTTTTGTATAGCACATAAGATGGTCTAGATAACAACGTGTGCCTTGTTGTACTTAAATTATATGTAAATTGCATGAGCGTCCGCAGAAATTATTCCAGGGAGGGGCAAAATTTTCCAGGGGGGAGGGGGAATAGTATGAAATTGTGAATTAAATAAAAAATTCATATACATGTGCTAAATGAATAAAGAAACGTGTTTCTCATTTTCTCGGGGGGGACGTGCCCTCTCCCCCTCCCCTGCGGGCGCCCATGGTAAGAATGTTTTGCCCTATTGTTATCTGTGGCAATTTTTTAAGGTTTTCACTGTCTTACAAAAATATTATATTTTTTTTTCAGCTTTTGTTTTGACCTCAAAAGACAATTTAAATGATGGCCTGTGGGGTACTTCTGATGCTGTTGGTCTCGGTAAGTGACGTCACTCCCAATTTCACATATGAAAATAGTGTTGCGGATAATCATTATAGTTATCTTCTCTTTTTTTTACCCCTCATTCACTGCCCTTGTAGAGTAAAATATAAATCATAATAGCGTAGAAATGACACCGCACGAAAATGGTGCATCATAAAATGATATATTTCTTCTGCATCGCCTGTTTTCGCGTCAAAACAGACTTGGCACGGAAACCGGCGGGCAGACGAAACTACTCAATGTAATTACTACCAGTTCGCGCTCTCTTTGAAACTGGGTGGGCCTTCTATGGCGGTCTTTGGTGGTGATCAAGGGAGTGTTAAAGGTCAAATTTCATCCATCACATTTCACGTGTGGTTGTTATAAGATTTAAAAGACAACATGTTCATTTCTTTCTAAACTTTGCCGACACAATAACATTTGTGATTTTATTCACAAATGTTAAGCCTACTAATACAAACTGGGTTCGTTAATGTTGTTATAATTATATTAAAACAGTAACTTAAATAAGCAATCTACAATTTATAAAAAAATTAAATAAACAAATAAAAGTGTTTATTTAGTATCTGTGAGTGTGAGAACTATGATTATTGTTATTCAAACAAAGAAAGTTGACAATGTTGTCGTGACACTAAGTTATAAATTCGAATTTCGTGTACAAAGACGTTGTATTCACACACACAGTGTGTTGTTCGTAGAGTCGAATTTATTGAAAACTTATGATTAATTAAAGCCAACTTCTGGACTTCGGTGATTAAAAGCCGTATCTTAAAAAAATACAGCAAAATAAAATTATCACCATAAAGGAGATTAAGCTCAATGAACGTTAGGCTACTGACATAGTTGGAAATTGTGTCGATTCAATACCCGAGGGTTTCAAACATACAGGTTTATAATGGCTGGAGACGGCTTGAATGGGTAATGAAGAAAAACTTGAATATAAGTTTAACATAACAGCAAATGTACAAAGTTTTGTCATCATCAGGTACCCTTCATTCGGGTTACGTAGTTTGAAGATAGTTTCACGGTATGATTGGTTTCTGGTAGTGGATTGGTGAGAGAACATACTTAAAAAGTTACACATGGAATAACAAAGATAAACATTTAGACTTACACAACCTCGATTAAGGTTTATATATATTGGTATATAGGTTTGTGCTCTTCAAAAGCTGAGATCAGTAATAAAAAAAATCCCTTAGTTTGACTAATAAACACTGAGACCAGAACGGCTTTACTGAAGCATTATATTTCAAAACATAAGTAAGTTTACGGTTTCAAGCAGTGGAATTTGTTTTCGCTGTCTGCTATCATGAAAAGATAAAAATGGTTGAAACGTCTATAATCGAATACCTCCACATCGTAAAACATTCAGTGGTCCGTTTTTCTAATAAAACGTGTCCAAGTGTGAGATATCCTAAGTTTTAACTGCTTTTACCGATTTTTACCCTATATCTTCTTAGTGTGAGATATCCTAATGGACAATATGGGTAAAATCAGTTAAAACTTGTCCATTAGGATATCTCACACTAAGATATGGGTAAGTTGAATAGGAAAAGCATTATACAACGTTGTTATAACGTTGTCGATTTCTCTGGAGCACAACTTTCAGACCAGTGTTTCTGTGAAACTATTTGATTATCAGAGAACCTGAATCTAATTTTGATATTCTACTTTTGTGTTGTACACCGCCAGCTACCTTCCTTCCTGCGTGGACAGGAACCTCAGCGAGATGACACCCATGTTGACAGTGTTGTGCGTTCAGCAGTAGCAGACGAGTTCAGCAGCGAGATCCTTACCAACAAAACAAGAGGTACACTTCACTATTTTAGTCCAACGACCTTTATTTTAACCTTTTATTAGGTTAACTCATTTAGACAAGTTTCATTACATCTTCAATGCCTCTCTTACGTCACGTCTGTTAAATAAACAATCAACCGTGACTTTCAGTAGCAGATTTTATCGAAACCAGTCTCTCAACCAATTAAAACATGATGTTAAAAAACTGTTTGTTATAGCAGGATGTCGTAGTTCTAGGCATTGTTATATTAGACTCATAGAATTTAATTCTCGAATAACAATTACACGAGATTCTGTACTTACCAATTTAACCCTATTCAGTGACTCTGTTTACGAGAAAAGAAGCACACAACATAAAACTTATATTTTCCAGCTTATCTGTCTTGTGAGTCGGGAGAGATGATCGTCAAGATAAACTTCGTTAATCCATTCCGTGGAGTGACGTACACAGATTATGACAGAACAAGCGCCTGCAAGTTCTTCGGTGATGGGAGTAATTACTACGAGCTGAGGATACCCCTGAAAGGGTGTGGAACGAGGCAGGTACGACGGAACACTCCTATTTACATACATTGACGTTAAAATCATGGGAGTTTACTTTGTGAATAATCAAGACATTTAGAAACGAAGATAATATTTTTATTTTAATTTCCAAAGCAATAAACTAAATAGATCAGATAATGCATAAACTCATCCCCGTATTTTCTTGATAAACTAATTCAGGTGTTTGTTTTTTTTCTTTCTACCTATAACACGTCTTATAACGCCAAAAAAAAAACCTGGGTTTTATTGTTCCCCGCAGTAGCTACAGCGCAGATAGTTCATTTTGTAGCTGTGCCCTTAAAAAAAACCTTTCACAAAGCGTCCTCATTATGTACCTGAATCTGGCCCCTAAATCTTTGAGATAGAATTAAACTGAATTCCTGTTAGCTAAGTTTTACTTGTCGGAATATAACAAACTTTTTTCTTCTTTATAAGCTTATAGGCATTTCATTATAATTATTCTTACAAACCAAAATACATTTAAAACGTTCCAGTATGTTTTATGTAACATAGTACAATGTTTAAGCCTTCTTCTGGGTATAGCAGTGACATGTCCAGGATTCCCGACGGTTGATTCCAAATCTGATGTCAAAATATGCCTGACTTTGGAGCATGCAAGCGCTAATGGTGCTAAGTAAAGATTTCCGGTTTTTCAAAAAAGGATTAAATTTAAATTTGTATTTTAATAAAATATTTTATTATTTTTGTGTGTTGAAAAATTAAAACTTTGTACCACTGTTTAAAACATATTGTATACTATTGTCAAGAAGAAAAATAAAAAAAGACAGGAGAGTTCGGTCAACCAGGAATCCCCCACCCCCCTCCCAATACACCACTGTAAAACGTTTAATACTAACTCAACTATTTATTCACAGTTCTAAGTAGATGAAACCTTCTTTAAGAACGTGACTAAAACTAAAGAAATAACACAATTACTAGCTAAAAATATGAACAAGCTTTTATCAGAAACAAATAAAGTGTTTATTTTCGATAAAAATTATGTTATATACCAATGTTTATTTGTTTGTTACAAATTTCGCGCATAGCTACACGAGGG